CCTTGAAGCACTGGAGCAATACAGCCAGAGGAATACAAAAAAATAAAATAAATAAAATAGATGAAGCTTTGTGAGTCAGTATGTGTGCGCGGTTGGTTGTGTGAGTGTATGGGTATCTGCTGTGACGCACGTCTTTGTTAAGATATCACACGCTCCCTGCTGCTTTGATTGACGTGTGGAAAAGCAGCAGTGAAAGCTCTGCTGCTGCAAGAGGAGGGTGGAAACCAGAATTAAACTGAATGAAGGCGTGTTACTCAGTCATCAAAAGGATTTTGGGCAAACAGTTCACAACGTCGAGAAAGAGACACAAATCTGACCTGGAGGAGAAAAAATGGACTTAAAATTCTGAACATGAGCTAAAACAGAAAGCTGCTGCATCCATTTTTTATGGATTTGAGGAGATGCAACCACAGTTCATAACTGCATTGAAAGGGAAATGCAGGGTTCGAAATGAGCTAATTTATGAGTTTAATTGTATTATTGAAAACAAAATACATTTCAATTTCTGTGTCAAATGACATAAAAATCTCTTGATTTAAAATGTACATAATTCTTTCTTTGAATTTCTCTTGTTTTTTGTGTGATTCTGTTTTGTACAAATAAGGAAATCTGTCTTCCAAGCTTTAAATGTTGCCACGCTTTGATTTCTAAATTCAACACTGTTGGCAAAACATCTGCTAATGGGTTTAAATGGGCACTTCATTCTGTCATGACAGTTTTTATTTATTTATTTTTTAACACAAGATCCACCATATGCAGGCACTGAATACTAAAAATATTAATTGAACTGAAAGAAAGCTAAACACATCATGTACTGTATAGTAAAGTACTGTTTTTCCTTTTCATTCATTTATATTGTGATTGTCTATGCGAACGTCTCATTCAGGTGAGAATAATTAGAGATTTAAAGAGGCTGTGACATCAAATTTTGGTCATAAAATATGAATGCATTTTTGGAAAGATAACATGAAACACATATTGCACAAAGAAATTTCACATCACTGAGATCAACAGATGTTGAGTCATGTGCATGTAAAGTAACAGGAAGTGATGTCAAAGGGGAATGTCTGCATGTGAACAGAGTTTTGATACAAAAACTAACAGATTGTACTGGATAATCTGATGTTTCTTGAGATTATTTTGAGTCATCATCAGAGAGAGTTGAAGACAGGTCTGAGTTAAAAATAAAATATTTTTTAATAAACAAAGACACGACAGTTTCTTTACTTAAAGAGTTCCCCTTTGATGTCACTTCCTGTTTCACTTTGGCTGAGTCAAATGTAAAAGAAAACATGCCAGTTATGGGTAAAATCAAGTGTATGCCAAGTTTATTAAATATTTTTATTTTTATTTATTTTTTTACTTTTTGTATTTGAAAAATAACGTATTTATCTATCTTTTCGGTGCATAAGAATAAAGACACTTTTCCAATTAGAATGTACAAAAATGAATGACAGTATAAATTAGAAATTGTTCCCAGTATTTTGTTCTTGTTGTTCAAGAACCCTGCTTCTCAGGAAAACAGGCTCCTAAATATCTGATGTATAGTAAAATTTACATAAAAAATAGACTATATGAAAATCTCATTAACCCATATTTTATTCACGATTAAACCTTGTAAATATCAAACTATGAGATTTTTTTTTACTTTCTTTAATTTAAAAATTGAAGTAACTGTGAATTTAAGGGCAACAGTGCGATGAATGGGATCAAATGGCTATGAAAGTAAGTCATACAAGAAACAGTAGCATCTTAGCAACTTTTTTGGGTCTATTAGTAACAGGTCAGTAGGAGGACTGAGAATAAAAAGAACATTTTAGAGAGGCTGAATCTCTCAGAAGTAAAAATGAGCCAACATCTTTGGAACCAAAACTCATTTAAATTGGACTGAGGATACAAAAAAAAAAAAAAAACTCTGTGTAAGAAGAATCAAAATTTGAAATTGGAGTTGTGTAATCATCACCTTGGAGAAAGATGTGTTGGGAGCATTTTAAAGACTTTTTTTGGTCCAAGTGAAGCAGATCCTCATTCCAACAGGTCAAAGCATCTTGTCATCTTTGCAAACATTTCACCAAGAGTTAAAAAAGGAATATTGGCAAAGCTGAAGGAAGACATGAATCTAATTAGTTGCAATAAATGCATCTTATTGAACCACGTTACATTTAATTAAGCTGTGAAGCACTTCTTACGCTGTTATGAAATGAAGGTATTAGTTTAAAAAAAATCCCAATTATCTGTCAATTGCATGTAATTATTTTTTTCTGTTTTTTGCAATGCTATAAAATGGAGTTTCCACTCACAGATAAAGAGAGAGAATCAGAGTGAGGTGATGATAGAAAGCCAAACCTACGGGACAGSGAGTGTGAACTTTAATTTAATTATCTCCCCTCCTCCCTGCTGTAACATTCATTGACAAAGAAGGAGAAAGAAATGAAGACAAACGAGAGAAGAAAGGGGGATTTGGTGTGCGGCAATCAGTGGAAATCTTTATTTTAACGAGTGAAGTGGGTCTGTGAACGCAACGATGCCCACAGACAGCCCATCAAAGGCCCCAGAGAGGAATCAAAGATTCGCTCAGCCAGTCTTTCAGCAGCAGCAGCAGCAGCCCGATGAGGTCTGAGCTTCAAGAAATCTGATCTGTAACGAGTCACCACAGCACCTGGGGAGGCTGAAATAACCAAAGCAACAACAGCTAAACGCACCGACATGTTTATGAGCCCTAAAGAGGCTCGACAGATGTGTAACAGCCTGCCACCTCACATGACTGAGCTGAAGCCAAGGCAACAGCAGAGGCGCGACTGAAGAAATCTCATTAAAAAACATATACAAGGCAGAAAACATGTGGCATTTTATCCATCGCACGAAAACATTTGAGCCCTTCTCGCTAATTATGTGTTACTGTGATTATGCTATCGGTCGTGAATGGACACAAACCAGCAATTAAACGGCTCAAACACAGAGAATAAACCTCTATTTGCTGGCGAGCTGCATGAACCGTCTACCAGTGACAGCTTGACATTTTTATTAGTCACTGCTATGAGCAATAAAATGAGTACATTTGCGAATATTTTCACGTACTTGTTTGTTTTTACTGAAAGGTTGGTCATATTATTATTATTATTATTATTATCTTGAGGAAAAAGTATGTTAGTGATCAGCTGCAGCTGTTGCTGTTTCTGAATGAAGAGTCGTGCAGTCAGAGGGAGTGATGTGATGGATTTGGGAAAACAAGGCTAAAAGATCCCACGCTTCTCCTCCTCTGTTTCACTGCTCACTTGATCTGCGATCCCATTTTGCCTCTCACAAGTGCAACTAATCTAAACAAGACTACAAATGTCGAATCAGTGAGTTTGATTTATGCTCTTAATGTGAAGGAGTTCTCCAAACTAAGAGGGCAGGCAGGTGTTGAAGCTGAAATCACCTCAAAAATGATACGTTCTTGCTCCTTCTAAACACTAATAAAAAAAGATTTTAAAAGCTCTTTATTGCAGTTATTTGCACACAAGTCAAACATGGAATAAAATAAAATTTGAAATCTAACTGGAGCATCAGTTTTCAGTCTGTTCCAGTGGACTTAGAGAAACACTACAATAATTAGAGCAGTAGAACAAAGGATTGCAAACAGGATTTTTAAAAATCAAAACACTGCTTCACAGTGAGAAACATGGCATGTCCCTACTTTTTAAAATGCTGCTTCCATTTAATTCAGAATTTGTTTGTTCTGCAGCTAACATAACCTGTTTGGATTCCAAGACGTTAACCAGAAGACACAAAACAAAACGAGTGTTAAATCCAACCTCTTAGTCTCGCCATCAACTTTGTCACCGCCAGTCTCTGACATTTAACCGGCAGCTGGCGTGCTGTGGCCCCGAGCTTTGGCCCCCAGCCGACAGGAGAGTGTTTATTACCGTCTCTGTCAGCGCGCTCGCGCACACGTACACGCGCAGAGGATGTGAGGGAGGAGAGGAGAGGAGAGGAGGGGGCTGAACTGCGACAGCAGCTCCGCGCTGCTTCGAGCCTGTGAGTCATCGCTACGGGCTTTAACTCTTCACATGCCAGGAAGGCGGTGATGGGAAAACTCTGTGTTCTGATGATGAAAAACAACAAAACAAAGCAGAATGACAGAACTCGCGTGATCCCACGAATTTCAACCCCCATTTTTACGGTCCGCCTCTGAAGGCGAGAACATATAACGCTGTTTAATCAGTTCATGTGTTTGTGTGTTGGCAAAACATCACAAGAATTACGCGACATTTTAACTTGGAAGTAATCACTGGGTGTGCATCTACAGCTGATAAACATCAAAACAATTCAAAACGACCGCCACGGCTATGTGACTTTTAAAATAGCAAAAAAACTGTTTATGAATCGACTGGTTTTACATATATTGACCTAAAATTAGGTGTGGTAGTAGCTGAGACTGATTCCCAACATATAGCGTATTATGAGCGCTCGATTGTAGCGTCATTGTCTCTGTCTGTTAGCAAAATGTCTCTTAAACTATATTGGACAGATTTAAATTAAACTTTTAGAATGTGAATACTGATTATACATGAAAAACTGAATAACCTTTGAGGTTAATATATCTGAATGTGTCCGCCACAGTTATATTAGCCGACAAACATTCATTTAACTCGGTTAATTTTGCAAATATTGAGCTGGAATTTGATGTGATAGTTGCAGCAGTCACATATTTTTGCGCTATTGCACGAGATTGCGCGAGATTTCTCAACAGATAGAATAAAAGTTGTAGTTTTCTGCAGATTTACGCTCCTCGCAGCTGCTGCTGCTCATGAAGACCTTCCGCAGTCAGGCCTCCATCTTTCCAACAACAGAGAGGTGCTGTGCAACAGACTGGGCTATTTTTATTCCAGCAGACTCTTCAGCATGCATTTAATGAGCTTGAATCTTTTTTTCTTCCCCTATGGAGTTTTTTTAGGGGGGCTAGGCTCTCTTACGTGTGTTGTGTGATGACGCGGTGGTCAGGTGGTGCCTCATATAACAGGAGGAGCTGTCCAAGTGCTGAAAACAGACGATTCAGCGCCGCTTCTGAGGAGATGCCATACATCCTCACTGCTGTCTGAGCTTTATTACCAAAGGTAAAAACAAAACATTTATCATTCTTAGCCTAAATAAATAGATGTCCTGAACGAATTAGATTGGTTAGAAACCTATAGTTTGGTTTTTGTGACGATTTCGGCTCCTTTTAAAATGAGATTTAGACTGTTCACGCGATAAAACGTTTAATTGCGCACAGTTTGTTATTGTTGGGGTAAAATAAAGAAAATAGTGCTTTTGTTGAGGTTTAGAAGACACTAAGAGGATGAGTGTGATGCTGAGGTTGCCCATAACAACGTAGGGAGTGACTCATCCAGTGATGTGAACACACAGCATCACATTATTCAAACTGCGGAGCGGAACTCTCTGATCCAAATCAAACCGAGTCTCCTGATAAACCTGATTGATTCAAGTCCATACAGAAAATAATCTGACGTCTCGTGATCTTGTTTGACAGGTAATTTATTGCCTATAATGCTGCATTTCCACCACAAGTTGCCCGCGGGAGGAGCCGCGCTCCTGCTCGCCTTCCTCCTCCACGGATGCGCGGTGCGGGCTGCGTCCCTCCCCCGCCACTGGCTCCAAGGCGGGGGCAGCGAGGGCCAGCCGGCCGCCTTCCCGCCCAGCTCCGACATGATCAAAGCCCTGGAGTACATCGAGAACCTGAAGCAGCGGAACGGGGCTCGGCCCGAACCGGTGGACTACGACGAGGTGGAGAAGTTCAAGGTCCTGCTTCAGCTCGCCTCGCGCCAGGACGAGGTTCCCGGGGACCGCCAGGCGGCCCCCGGCATCCAGAGGCCGGACGTTACCGCCGAGCAGTTGCTGAAGGCGATGCTCAAGACCCTCCAGGACCAGGGCGGCAGAGAGGCGGGGTTCCCCGCCGCCGCCGCCGCGTCGGAGCCCCGGAGCGACCGGCGGACGCACAGGCACCGCGCCAAAGAGATGCCCGGAGGCACTCCGGCGGATTACGGTAACTTCCCCAGACCTCACAAGAAGTACCCGCTGATGTTTGAAGACGAGGAGAACACTGACGCCTCCAAGCGGGCTACGGAGGACTTGGACGAGCAGTACACCCCCCAGAGCCTGGCCAACTTAAGATCCATCTTCGACGAGCTCGGGAGGATGCCCGCCATGCCCGGGCAGAAGAGGGGCGTGTTCGGGGATGACGATGAGGAGGACGGCGGGAACAGGTTCGGTCAGAGGAACCAGGCCTATGAGGACGTGGCCGGGGGCGACGAGTGGGTCCCCGTGGAGGAAAGGGAGGAGACGGAGGAGGTGGAGAACCGGAGCCACGAGGAGATGGACCGGGCCCTCGGCGACCAGGAGGAGGAGTCGGAGCGCGAGGAGACGCGGCGCCGCGCCGATCAGAACCAGGAGGACGCGGATGACGACACCAAACTGGTGGACTACTACCTGCTGAAGGTGCTGGAGATGAGCGACCAGACCCAGAAGAGGGATCAGACCGGGGAGCAGAAGAAGAGGCTGATCCGGCCCTCCATCGTGGATCCCCGGACGGTGAAGGAGCTGCTGGAGCTGTCCCTGAAGCTCCACGTGCCGCCTCAGGACCTCATCGACATGCTGCTGACGGAGGAGCTCCGCAAGCTCCACCGCGACCCCCAGGCCCTGACCCGCTACACGGCKGCCGGACAGACCCCCAAGATCAGGTACTTCAGCCGCAGACTGCCGCTGAAGGCCAAACCCCCCACCGATGACATGGACAGGGAGGACTTTTTGGACATCATCGGAGTGGAGACCATCAGCAACGAGTATCCCGTGGTGCAGAGACCCATGAAGACCACCTCACCCGCAGACAGGGTCCCGGCGGCGTCCAGCCCCGCGGGTCCGGTGAAAATCCCTCCACCCTCAGGCCGCAGGGAGAACCTGTTTTTATCCGAGCTGAACAAAATGCCCCTGAAGCGCCAAGCCGACGCTCCGGACGACGACGACGGGGACATAGAAGACGAGGTGACGACCTACCTGGCGGCCAAGATCCTCACGGAGTACCCGAACACCGTCAGCAAGCGGGACACGCGCGCGCAGCTGAAGGGCCAGTTCCCCTACGAGCTGTACGAGCGCGCCGTGAAGGACTACATGGGCCAGGCRGACACTGAGCCGAGGCCGGGGATCAAGCGGGACCTGGAGGGGGCCACGGAGGAGAACGTGGCGCCCACCGAGGTGCAGGAGGAGATGCCAGCCAAGACATCCGCTCCGCAAACCGTGGCTGAAGGAGGAGAAGAGGAGCGCCGTGAGAAAAAGGCAGCAGGGATGTAAYCCGATCCCTCCCCTTTCCTCTCTGCATTAATATGAATATAGTATTTATATTCTGTCTCAAACACATAACGTTTGGTGGACGTGATCTAGTTTACAAGTTTCTATCATAAAGAATAGCTGATAACACCCTAACAAATAATAAACAATCTATAGCAATCTTAGACATAAAATAGAGAAACTTAACTGACTGTCCCTACTTGCTGCAAGAACCTATATTTTAATGAGACCAGAAGAGATTAAGGGTGCAAAGAGTGATCAGTCCAACCTGACAAATTTATGGTGTGATGTTAAATGTTTACACTGAACAGTGTTTGTAAACAATTTGAATCTATAACCAACAGAATGATGTTGTTTTTTCCACCTATGTCAAGCTATTTATGTCAATACACATGTAAATGATCAAATGTAAATCCCGATTGGGATTATTATTATTTTTTATTTATACTTGAGCACTCCGGAGGTAAAATACTGGGGATTGCCTGCTGCATAGGACGAGTGTCATCGTGACTCGTGATATTATTCAGGGTTTGTGGATTTATCGTTCCGAGTAAATTAAGTCTAAATATCAGACCGTCGCCTGCCTTCTAACCCTTTCATACAGCGAAGCTCTGTATCGTTGGCCTAACCGTGGTTGTGCTTATTGCTCGTTTTTAAACCATTTTGTACATGTTCAACAATGTGTCACAGGTGAATAAAGCATCAGCTGTATTATTTTTTCTTCTTGCTGGGTTGTGTTGCCTTATTAAAACTTACAAAAAGAAAAAAACAATCATCAGCTTGGAATGGTGCATTTATAACCCATCCATCTATTTTGTTTACTTCTTTTTCTGGGTCATAGAGCTCGCTGTTGCTCATGTCCAGCAGTTACTGTGCACCCTGGACAAATAAGTCCATGGTGGTGGTGGTGGGGG